CTCTGGCAAAGGCCCCAAGAAGCCTTGAGCCCCAAGCCCGAAGCTAGAGAAGAACACAGCCACAAGGTGTCAGAAGGGTTTTTGTTGCCGGCGATGAAAAGAGTTATCGAAGCATGCCTGGTGAAGAATCACCCGAGCATCCATCATACAGGTAGGAAACACGCCTACCCTCTGGACCCTGATACACCTATGCTTCCATTCCATCTGAAGATAGGTCATCTACGCTTCTTCATACTTCTTCCAACCTTAGTGTGGACCAGCAAGATCCCCCCTCTGACTGGTCGTGCGAGATTTCTTAGAAGTCTTTTGAAGTAGACACGCAAAGGGCTTCCGCAATATGAATGCGCCTCTGAGCTCGTAGGTTCCATTTCCCACTGGAAAGCGCAGCCAGAGTTTTTTGGGGGTTTGTTTGGAGCCAGACCCCCAAGCAAGAAATCCCTGCTTAGCCAGAGACTTAGTGGTCCAAGCACAGGGAAGCATGGGGGGTGGATGCTCAGACCACAGTGTTGGGAAACAAAAAACAATTCAAAACGCACGGATCAGATTGTCACAATTGCTACCAGAACCCCTAGGCGCAAACATGTTTTCTTCGATTTTGTGCATACGTTTTCCGCGAATTCCAGTTTCCAACAAAAAAGCTTGTGCCAAAGGAAGGGGTTGCAAGCGAAAGGATCCTAGCGCAAACATGTTTGCTTCGAACTCCGGCTTAGTTGTGCATATGATAGCTGCATGTGTTTTCTGCGAATTCCAGTGTCCAAAAAAATGCTGGTGCCAAAGGACAGCTTGTTGCAAGCAAAAGGAATACCGAGCAGCCCTAGTGCAAATATGCATTCTTCGAAGTCTGGTTTAATTGCAGATGTGTTTTCTGCGATTTCCGGTTTTCCAAGAAACGCTGGTGCCAAAAGACAGCCTGTTGCCAGCACAAGGAATGCAGAGAACTCCTATGCGCAAACATGTGTTCTTCGAATTTCGGCTTAGTTGTGGATTTGTTTTCTACGAATTCCAGTTTCCAACAAAATGCTGGTGCCAAAGGCCAGCTTGTTGCAAGCAAAAGGAACACCGACAATGCCAACGCCTTTGCCCCGTGCGCTTTGAGGAGCTGGATTCTGCCGAGCAGGTGGTCTGTGAGTTCAAATCTGAATGCCAAGTAGCCCTTTTCTGGCTCGCGCGGGTACGCTGTGACCAACGTATGAGGTTAAAACCACCACAGCCGGATCACAGCCACAACGCATGCCTTGAAACCTGCAACGCCCTCCAGATTAACAGAGACCCAGGGCATGTTTGAGGTTGAACCGCGCGTGTCGCCATGCCTGTGCCAGCTGTCCTGCGCAATGTCATCAGTCAGTCGGTGTTGCTTCTCAGCAACCGCTCGCTTGTGATTACCAGGTCGGATGTAGCAGTTGTGGCGCACTGGGCCGCGCAGACATCTAGGGAGCTTCGATCAGGGAGCAAGCTCAGATTTGATGAATTCATGAATGTGATGGGAGGGTTATTCCAGTGTCACCTGCATTCCGCGTGGTACGATCTAGACATTGTGGTTTGCATGTTGGAGGACTGTCACAACGTCATCATACAGCCTGCAGATTGGGGCGCGGTCAAGAAATCGCTCGTAGGCGCGCTGAAAAAATGATGCCGGCGCACAGATGGGGTAGAAACCGGAGATGGCATGTTTGTTCACAACGCTGTGTCTGCCAGTTGCTCGGACGATGCTTCTCCATCCTCTCGTGCCTTGCCCCGCAGGAAGTTGACCAATGGCTCCATCATTGATGCAGATACGACAGATACAGCGTCGGTTGCGTCAGCAACATCATCAAGGGATTCAGCCCATTCCAACGCTGACGCTGCGCGCTATCTTGCTTTTCCTTGCAACCCGGACAAGGTGAGGTTAATGGAGTCAAGGCTGCGCGCTGCAAACCAGCAAGTCAGCATTTTGCAGGAGATGTTGGCGAGCAAGGATCGCCGCATTCGCGAACAGTCAAAGCTGATCAAGATGTCCAAGGGCAAGGGGGCGCGCGCTAGGTCTGAGAGGTGCAGACGCAGATGGCGACGAACGACTTCCGCAGAAGCAGCCTCTGCGTGAGCCGGATGGTCCGGATGGACACAAGGCTGATGGTTCCGATGCCGTTTTGCAGCATGGTTTAAATCTGCTGATGGAGGAAGCTGAGGCAACAGGCCCAGAGTTTGCGACTTATGGTGATAACGAGGGCTTGTCTGTAGCACACGTGTTGCAAAGGGCAGTCAATGAAGCGCAGTCAGCCGTGCCAGCGCTGGATGAGCTGGACGAGCAGCACGAAAAGCTTTCCCAGGAGTTGCAACGCGAGGGGAACCAGCTGTGGGCCTTGCTGCAAGCCAGAGAGCCAGAGACGCATTGAGTGCTGGCACGTGCGCTGTGCCAGCCCCTGAGCAAGTTCAAGCCTGTATTGACGCTGGTCACGCGACCAATGATGACTTTGAGGCTGCGCTGGAACTTGTGTTGAACGAGTCAGGAGCGCCTCTTAGCTGCCTTGTTTTTGCATCCCGCTGTCCACTGTGTTTGCCTAAACTAAGACTAAGACTTGAACACGTTGAACTAAATTTCGAGTGGGGGCTTTCTGAGTTGGATGCGGGCTTGCCCCGCGGGCCGTTTGAAGGAGTTATGGGCAACATGGACAACCTGTCGCGCGGCAGGTCTGGCAGCTGCAACTTTGGCTGGTTACAGAGGGCGGGTGGGCGGGCGGCGGCGCCGTTGGACATTGGCAGAGCAGACATTGGAGTTTGGCTTTGTGGACTTGCAGACAGGTCGAGAGATCTTAGGGAATCTTATGACGCTAGCTGGGCGCCGAGCGACAATAACACGCGGTAGGATGGAGCCTCATGTTGCAAGTACAAAGCCGCACAGCGACAGGCTAACGTTTCACATTAAGTTCCCATTCGCTACAGTTTCCACGCTGGTGCCAACCTCCGTTTGACAGCAAAGGGGTGTGTGGGCCCGTGTTCTCTCTGGACTCTGGACTCTTGACATGCTGACATTGCAACGCTGACGCTGGCGCTTTTCAACCACCAACCAAAGCCACCCAGCCTTCATTGTTCATGTCATGGCGGTGTTGGGTTCTAGTTTTGGTTGGGTGGGAGTAGGAACTATCACCAATTATCATATGACTGGCTGAGGCCCGCCTGCTCAACTGACACCAGTACACCAACTGCGCCTTGCTTGGGACTCCTGGTGCCGGAACATGACTGACAGCCTTGCAATGTTCAGTACTGCCTGGTTACAACCTGGTAGGGACGACGTTCCAGGTCGGGCCGCAGCCAGCCTTTTAGATGTTCCTGCCTACAAGGAGTCTGACCCAGATGCCGATGCCGGCGCTGGCGGGGCTGGGGCTGGTGCGCTGGAGTCATCTCCCGAAGCAGTCGCTCTTGGGCGTTCTCGCTTGGACGCCGTGCTTGTCAAGGTGGTGGAGCGTAAGATGGAAGTCATGCAGTGGGACACGCATCAAACGCTCCAGCGCTGCGATGACAACGTGATCGTCAATGTGACAAACAAGAAGGACTTGCTGACGGTTCAGGTTTCTGTGAAAGAGAAGCTTCGGTTGCCTTTCGCTGGCACCATCACGACTGCCAACTCAAAGGGATCCTCTCACTTTGCCACGGTGTTCGGCCTTGACTTCTACGTGCAGGGGCGGTCTGACGCTTTGAACGCGGACGTGGTGGTGGCGGCATGGTCAGCAAAGACCGGGCCAAAGGTGACCGAGTGCAACTTTCAACACGAGACCCACGATCTGGAGTTCATTGCTCGGGTTGCGCCAGGTGGCAGCCCGTTGAGTGTGTCCCTCATGGCCGGCTCCCCCGAGGAGATGTCCGAGAAGGCATCAGAGGTTGTGTCCGGCGGCGGCAATGTTTGCGCCCTCGCTGCATTCAGTGGCTATTTACTTCATTGCAGTTTGATTTGTTTTGCCTTTATTTTTCCGGCGATTGGCAGATGACATTGTTAAATGGCTCGGGCTCGTAACGGCTTCCGAACTGCACGGGGGCTTCAGACTGGTGACTTTTTCAGATTAGTTTCCAAAGAAACCTAGTTTGGCCCGGCCAGGCTGGTGCAAAGCAAGCATGCGTACTCTTGCCCCGATCCCTGGCCTGATGGGCAAACTCGAGCAAGAGTTGGCTAAGCAGAAGGAGCGTGCCGAGAAAACTGCCCGTTCACTGGTTCACGCAGCCGCCCGCAAGAAAGCCCAGCACGAAGCCAAGGAGTCCAAGAATAAGAGGAAGCTGGCTGCTGGTGAAGATGACTCAGACCTCGATTCCCCAGGTACCCGCTCACGGCGGCACGCAGAGGCAGAGCTTGCCAAGTCGAATCAAGCGCAAGAAGAGGAGTCACAAGTGCAAGGTGCGATTGACGCGCCTTGCGAAGTTGCCTACCAGCATCCCCCTCACCGTTATGAACTCCTCGGGCGCAGACTCTGCTGCAGCAATGCCGCAAGAGAAGTCAGCGCGGGACATTGCCTTGCAGAAGGCAGTGAAGAACGCGGAAGCGAGAGTGGCCGCTGCTGGCGCCCCGCAGGCTTCTCAGGCTCAGGCTCAGGGCACTCCTCGTGTCGGGATCCAGGCTGCCCTTGAAGCTTTCCGCAAATCCCTTGTCCGCAAAAAAGAAGGCCAGGGCAAGAAGGGCGAGAAGGCATGCTGAAGTAGCTGGGGCTTTTAGGTGGTGGACGTGCTTCGGGGTCCGGGCCTTCGCAGACAAGATAGACAGAGCGAACATGTGTTGAAGGAGGGCTGTTCGCTGTTCATGCTGCGAGTGCTTGTAAGTTTTGGTTGTCAATTCCTCCGTTTTTCCATCTACGTTGGGTTTTCTGTGCTATGACTGGATTCGGTCCGGACCCTGCAGCCTTTTGCGCAAGCTTTAGCCAATGATGTTTGGACATGTGCAAAGCACAGTCTGCGATGCGGGAAGCGCAGGTGATGTCCATGTCATTGGCTCTTTTCAGTGGGAATCACCAGGATTCTTTCTTAACTTCTCACAAGTT